CTTAGTCATACCAGCCTAGTTAAAATTATGTTGCAGTACAATGCTTCCACGTCAAAATTACTCAAGGAATAAGCGGAATTAGGAAATCTGCGCTCCAGCAGGAGAAAAACGCAGGTTCCTGAACAGCAGCTTGCTGCAGAACAGACCTTCTGACCTGGTTTGGTGTGTAACAAAAGTACAATTTGGAGAGCCCAAGCTTGAGTATGTGTTGTTATTGTCCTTCGTTAGCTATTTGCCATTACCTGCTAGCCTGAAATCATTAGAGGAGCTTTCTGTGCTCCTGGAGAGCGGTTAGCATTCCTAGTGTAACATTCCAAGACTGATCTCTTATTGGGGCTGTAGGATAGTATGCGTTGGAATTTGTATTGCCTTACTGTTTTACGAGCTGGTTGATTTTTTTATTTTAATTTCAAACCTAAACCAAATTGTATAAACATGCAAGAGCATAGGTAAGGTCTTGTAACATGGTTTTAGGTAGGTTTACAGAGAAGATTTCTTGCAAAGAGATTGTAAAATATGTTAATGGGCCTCATTCCCTGCTCACTTTTGCAGGTCAGGCCTTATCCTGCTGAACACTTGTGAAAAGTATCATTCTGGTCTTGCCTTCCCTGTTTGCATGATGGCTTTTCACTCTTAAATAATACCCTTGATTTGCTTCAGAGAGTCTTGTCACAGTCCATACACCTAATTCAGATAGGCTGAAGGAGCTGTAGCCCTCAACCACCATCACGGCTATACCTATTTAGGCTATTAATAGCAGGTATATAACAAAATATTTCTCTGTGTGGATGTGTTTATGGATGTCCATGCATTACTAACTCTCCACACTCTCCTCTTAGTCCTATCATGATTTCTTGACCTATTTCATTATGATAGGAAGAAAAAAAGTGTGTGCGTGTGTGGGCTTCTGCTGTTTTTGGATTGTCTGGGGTAGAAATAAAAAGGTTCCTTACAATTTTTCTTGCTGGACAGGCTTAACACAGCCCTTATAAACAGCCCTCAGAGGCACAAGAGAGCTGGACAGAGAGGAAACTGAACATGTACTTGCATCTGCTTTTCATTTATAATACTTTCCTGCGCTTTGAAATTCTCGCAATTAGGTCACCATCATTTGCTAAACTGCTTTAAAAAGACCAAGCCAAAGTGGGAGGAGACTGGCCACTCTGCCTTTCTCCATGGGCACAGCAAGCTGTGTGCAAGGTGCTTTTGGTCCTGTCACGTCCTTGATGAAAAGGTGCATTAGGCCCTACGAATCACCTCGAACTCATCTCCCTTGGCAATTAAAGAGAAGCAGAAGGTGAAGCACACACCCTGTCACAACCCCAGTCCAAGGTGGTTATCGCACTTGCAGCACGGACAGCTCTAATCACTTGACCTGTTTCTCTGTACCAGAAACTGCTTGCGTGTATTTCTCCAGCTGAAAATTACCTTAAAACTAGAAATTATGTCTTCTCCTTCTCCTTTTCCCTTTTCTAAAAATACCTATGCAATCTGTGAGAATTTAAAGCCTTTGGTCAGCTAGACTTAATGTAAAACCATGATTATATTACAACTACATGCAATTTGCCCAAAAAGATCACATTAAAACTGAACCATTAATTTAACAGTTCAGTGATCTTGTAGTTATATATACATGTGGTTGAAAATTTGTGCTTGGAAAATGAACAGAGATCTTCATGCAGTAGGAAATTTTGACCTGTCCAGGATACTCCAGGTTATAAAATGCTTTCCTACAGCTCTGACTCTGGCTCAATCTAGTGATTCTATCTATAATTAAAGCAGAAGTTCAGCCTGCCCCCTGAGCATCTATGATGTTTTCCAAAAGAGAGTATAAGTCTTTTACCAGCATTAAGCAGTAGATCTTGAAAATTAGGTTTTGGGTCACAATATATTTGTCTGGACAATACAACCATTGCTTGTCCTTGCATAGATCTCAAGTAAAATTTAGCAGAGTGAGCTGGGTATGGACAGGAAGCTGTACAGCCCCATGATTTTGAAAAATGCCCCATGTTTACATCCCACTTTCTCCCCTCTCACCTGCTTTCAGTTTAAAATGGCTGGGAAAATAAAACATCAGATTCGTAGTTTTTCCCTAATGTTATATTCAGACAGAAGAGTAAAAGCTGGTGGACTACAGTCTATTACAAATATCCAAGATGCCTGAGAATCTGTAAAATTAAATTTAATTTTGTCTTCAAATCATCAACTTCCCTGCAGAGTTATTGTTACTTGTGTTGGGGAGAGAATGTCTGACCTTGACATATACTAGGTTCAGCTGAACAAATGCTGTGGATCTGCTGTGGTGTTTTTTTTTTTTTTTTTTTTTTTTTTTTTTTTTTTTTTTTTTTTTTTTTT